GATCCAGCAGAGCTGCGAGGCCTCCTGGCCTCTGGAGCAGCGTGACAGGGGGCAGCGCCAAACCCCTGATCGCCCTGCAGCTCTGTGTGTGACAGGGGGCGGGGCCACAACCTCCCTATACGCCCTGCTCTGTTCATGACAGGGGAAGGCGCCCCAACTCCCTGATCGTCCCTGCTTTGTGCCTGACAGGGGAAGGCGCCCCAAACCCCTGATCAGCCCTGCTCTGTGTGTGACAGGGTGCGGGGCCCCAACCCCTCCATGGGCCCTGCTCTGTGTGTGACGGGGTGGAACCGAAACCTCCCCATCGTCCGTGCCCTGAGTGTGACAGGGGGCGGCGCCCCAACCCCCCAATCGGCCCTACCCTGAGTGTGACTGAGGGTGGCATCGCAACCTCCTGATCCGCCCTGCTCTGTGCATGACAGGGGGGAGCTCCCCAACCCCCTGATCGGCCCTGCTCTGTGGGTGACAGGAGGGAGCTCCCCAACCCCCTGATCGGCCCTGCTCTGTGTGTGACAGGGTACGGAGCCCAACCCCCCTGATGGAGGGTGGCATTGCAACCTCCCGATCTGCCCTGCTCTGTGCATGATGGGGGCGGTGCCCCAACTCCCCAATCGGCCCTGCTCTGAGGTCGACCAGGGGCTGTGGGGCAGGCACCTAGGGATTCTTCCTGCCCTCTGCCACCCGGGAGCGGGCCTAAGCCAGCAGGTCATTATCTCCCGAGGGGTCCCAGACTGTGAGAAGGCACAAGTGGGGCTGAGCGATACTCCTCCCCTCCCCCTGCCGCCAATTTTTGTGCACCAGGCCTCTAGTATATAATAAAAGGCTAATATGCAAATTGTCCCCTCGGGTGGTCATTCGACCAGGAAACAGGGAGTTCGACCTCTCGCTATGACATGTGCTGGCCACCAGGGAGCGGCATAAAACATGGCAGGCATTGGCAACACTGCGCTGACAGCAGGTGGCAGTGGAAGCACTGCCAGCCCCGATGGGCCCCAAGAGAGCGGCAACATGGTGGGATGGTGGAGCAGGTGAGCAGGTGGCGCCAGGACAAGGTGGGTGTGAGCTGGGGCCCAATCGCCCTGCCTATCGTACTGCAGATGGCGACCAGAGGCTGCGGCAGGGGGCGGAGCTGCCACTCAGCTCCCAGGTGCTGAGGGAGCCAGGAGGGGAGGCCCAGCCCCGATTGATCGCCCCTGCAGTCTGGATGGTAGAGCAGGTGAGGGGGTGGTGCCAGGCCACAGCAGGGTGCCAGGCAGGGCTGTGGGGCTGTGAGGCTGGGGTCGTGAGCTGGGGCCTGATCTCTGCAGGCCAACCCAAGGGACCCCACCTGTCACAAATTCGTGCACGGGGCCTCTAGTAAGTTCCATAAAGTTTTCTACCCTGGGTTCAGTAATGCACAAATGACAAGGTCAAATGTTGGATTGGATACCTTGCAAAATTTTATTTTCACTCAAGAACATAATAAATGGGATTCTTCTCTTTTTTAGTGGTTGATTTTACTTAGTATTTAATTGAAGTAAAACTACATGACATAACTAGAGAAAATCAAAATAGGATTAATTTTTTTAAAAGTAACCCATATAAGTATTTCAAGCTAAGGACCATCAACAATGACCAGAAAGAAAAATGTATTCTCATCCTTTAAAGAACCATTTTTACCCTCTGTCCACTCTTTCCCTGCCTCCCTACTCTCCCAACTAACTTGTCACCCACCTCAATACCTAACTTTACAGGCAACCACAGGTTTTCTGTCTCTGACAGAAGATTAGGGAACAGGGGGCTCGAGAACCGAGCGGAGCTGGTTGAGCCTTCAAAGTCCTAAAACGCGCGGCCGTGGATTCGGGGTTTATTGAATAAATCTCTTTTGAGATTTCTTCATTTGATTGCATACATCAGTTTATTCATTTTTATTGCTTAGCCAAAATTTTGCCTAGAAAAATGTTGGAATTGGGAAGAGAATATTGGGAGTCTAAGACAAGATAAAGAAGTGCCATCAGAGATGAAAAATGGGGGAAAAGGGACGGCTATGAAAAGTGTACAGAAATTTATGCTAGATTCCATGCCTCCACTCAAAGGACTTATAACACAGGAAGGAAAATTAGAAATGATACAACCAAGACAATAAAATGCCTGCGAATAAAAACATACTAGATAAAAGTGAGAGTGTTGTGAGCTAGAATAATCTAGACATAGAATAAGATTTGAATTGAATCTTGAAAACAAGGTGAAATGTTGGATTTTTTTTAAGTAATCCATGAAGAAAAAAATAGAATGAACTAAAGAATAGAGCTTGGAATTAGTGTAGCACATGGGAGAGAAAAGGAGATGGAGAGAAGGAAATGCTGGGATTACAGGAGATACCTAACTTTTGCTAGAGAAATAATATAATTGGAAAATGGGGTAAGTTGATAGTAGAAATTTGGGTTTGAATAATAACAAAAATAGAGTTAATTTTATTCTTGAAAAAAATGTGAATGACAAAAAAAACAAAACACTTTTTGGTAAAGGCTACTGAGAATGATGTATTCTTGCCATGGGAAGATAAGAAAAAAATTCCTCAGAATATATAATGACCAGAGGCAAGCACGTTTGTTTGTTCGTTTTTTTTAATCTACAGTTTAGAAATGGTCCAGTAAACCCGAATCTGGATTCCCTCTTTTCCAGGCAGATTAGCTGACCCCACCCAAAGAACAGACTGCGGCCATAAGTCTGGGGATCATCTGTGCATCTCTGTAGACAGTTGGTGGGCCGGTGAGTATAATATAGAAGTCAAATCACAAATTGATGACCTTTCCACAAAACAATTTAACCCTGAATCCCAAATAGAGGAACAAAAACAAACACCAGAATTACTGCTTTTACAAAACAAATTAATTCAGCCCTAGCTGGTTTGGCTCAGTGGATAGAGCATTAGCCTGTGGACTGAAGCATCCTGGGTTTGATTCCCATCAAGGGCATGTACTTTGGTTGCAGGCTTGATCCCCAGCCCTGGTAGGGGCACATTAAGTGCCATTATTATCTTTTTATGTTTTAAAGTAATAAATCCACAGCATAAATCCATTCTGCTTTAGGAGAGCAGGGTCCTTAAGAGAAGCACATTCAAGTTGCATATGAGAATAAGGGAAATTTCTGATAGTTTCTGAAGTGCCCAGAACTACTGCTTAAGGTTTACCACGTTTCCCAATCTGTGGGTTTACCTTCATGATAGATTTCTTTACTTCAAAAGCAACCTCTTTTGTATGCTAATAATATTAATCATAATTTTTGTTTACACAGACCTTAATTTTTATCTCTCTGCAATGCCCTTCCTTGCTGCAGTTGATTCTGGCATAATGGGGATACCATCAGACAATGTCACATTGCTGCCACCATACAAGGATCAGATGAGTTTTTGTTTTAATGTTTCTAGCTGTCGTTCATCCTTTCCAGAAGCAATGAAAAAGTGGAATGAATTTTACCAGGTTTTGTGTGTGGCTTTTGTTTTGTTTTGTTTTTTAGTAATTTAATTAATACTTTTTGGGGGTCACCAGACAATTTTTGAATAATATATTTAATGTAGAATTTTTTAGGCATTGAACAAATTCTTAAAAAAATAAGTTCTTAATATTAACATATTTATTATAATGACAGAAATATTAATGAGTTGATTACTGAATGACATCATATCACATTAGCACCCTCATTACCCATTGAGTATTGAGGCTACCCTATCCACTTTTCTCACACCAAATGAATTATATGCAAACACATGAGAATTATGATCTAATAGAGCATAAAGTGTTCTTTTTTATTATAATTTCAGGGCCAACGATGCAAAAACCTATATAGAAATACATATATAATATAGGTTATGGTGAATTTGATCAGATTATTTCAACTCTCTTTATAAACAAACTAGAGGCCCAGTGCACAAAATTTGGGCATGGGTATGCTCCCTAGGCCTCGCCAGTGATCAGAGCTGATCTGTGGGGCAACTGGTGGGGCAATCGGGCGGGGGAAGCCCTGCTGGCACCTGCCTTGGCCGGCCTGGCGCCTCCCGCTCACCAGCCCCACCCCCCCATCACCACCGCTGCAGGTCGCCTCCCTATGTGGGGCGACTGGCAGGGCAGTCAGGGGACTCCACTGGCACCTGCCTTGGCTGGCCTGGGGCCTGCAGGCTGGGGCAGCTTCTGCATTGAGCGTTTTCCCCCTAGTGGTTAGTGTGCGCCATAGCAACCTGTCGTTCCACTGGTCGTTCTGCCATTTGGTCAATTTGCATATTAGGCTTTTATTATATAGGATATAACTTGACTGAAACAATCATTTGACAATCAGAATCAAATATTGATATCTAAAGTAAAGTGCCATGGGTGAAAGAGTAAATGACTAAAACCAAACAAGTTTCCCTCTACAGATCTTTATATCCTATCTAATAATAGACAACATGGTAATTGACCGTACTTTCGCTACACCTCCCATTGGCTAATCAGCGCGATATGCAAATTAACCCAACCAAGATGGCGGCCAGCAGCCACATAGCTGAAGCGAGCAGGAGGCTTGCTTGCTCCAGTGATGGAGGAAGCCAAGGTTCCCTGCCTGTCGCGGCCCGGCTCTGAGCTCCGAAAGCAACAAAGTTTCAATTATAGAAGCTAAACAAACCCCAGATACCTGCTTTCAGCAGGCCATGGCCTCAGAGCTGGAGCGAGCAGGAGCCCGGCTCTCAGCTCCAGTGACGGCAACAAAGTCTCAATTATAGAAGGTAAATAAATCCTAGAATTAAAAAAAAAAAAGAAAAAAAGGAGAGGCTGGGAGCTTCAGTCACCAGCCAGCCTGAAAACGGCCCTCAGCCCCTCACCCAGACTGGCCAGGCACCTCAGTGGAGACCCCCACCCTGAAGGGGGTGTGACCAGCTGCAAACAGCCATCAGCCCCTCACCCAGGCTGGCCAGGTACCCCAGCGGGACCCCCACCCTGATCCGGGACACCCTTCAGGGCAAACCATCTGGCCCCACCCGTGCACCAGGCCTCTATCCTATATAATAAAAGAGTAATATGCAAACTGACCCTAACAGCAGAAAGACTGGGAATGACTGGTCACTATGACACACACTGACCACAAGGGGGCAGCTCAATGCAGGAGCTGCCCTCTGGTGGTCAGTGCGCTCCCACAGGGGGAGCTCTGCTCAGCCACAAGCCAGGCTGATGGCTGCCAGTACAGCGGTGGTGGTGGGAGCCTCTCCTGCCTCCTCAGCAGCGCTAAGGATGTCCAACTGGAGTTTAGGCCTGCTCCCTGCTGGCAAGTGGACATCCCCCGCGGCTGCCAGGCTGCCAGAGGGATGTCTGATTGCCAGCTTAGGCCCAATCCCCCAGGGAGCAGGCCTAAGCCAGCAGGTGGTCAACCCCCAAGGGATCCCAGACTGCAAGAGGGCACAGGCCGGCTGAGGGACCCCCCCCCTCCGAGTGCACAAATTTTGTGCACTGGGCCTCTAGTTCATATAATTAGACAAAAATATTCTACTCCTCCCATTTACCCCATTTTCTGACTCATATATATATATATATATATATATATATATATATATATATATGTATATTGATTTTTTACAGAGAGGAAGGGAGAGTGATAGAGAGTTAGAAACACCAATGAGAGAGAAACATTGATCAGCTGCCTCCTGCACACCCCCTACTGGGGATGTGCCCGCAACCAAGGTACATGCCCTTGGCCAGAATCGAACCTGGGACCCTTCAGTCTGCAGGCCGATGCTCTATCCACTGAGCCAAACCGGTCAGGGCCCATTTCTGACTCTTAAGACTTTGTAGAAAGTTCATTATATGGCCAGAGAACAACAAGTAAACAAAATACAATAAAATACTAAAGCTCTGGTTCTGAACAGTATAAAATCCTAAAACACATGGTTTATTGCTTTCAAATGGGTTCAGCATCACTAGTAATTAATATAAGTAATATTAAGCTTTTAGGGACTTTTAAGCATTAAATCTTTCATATCTTAACTTTTAGGGGAAAAAACTCCCCTCATTTAGATGTTGAAAAATTATATTTGTAAGTAGAATTGATTTTTCAGGAAGAGAGACAGTTATCATTGCTTAAATAATATAACCTTGTTCTTCTTGGACAGCATTTAAAATCCAATTCTAGTAGTTTTGATGACCTGCTGAAGTACTTATGGGCTGCACATGTCTCATCCTTGGAGGTTGCTCATAAAAATTTTCACAACAGGTAAGAATGGATCTAAAGTTATTTTGTTTTTACATGGTAACAATATTTCCATCTTACATTACCTTTTTCATTGAAGTGTTTTTCAATTAACCTATTTACCAATATGTCAACTATGGGGGGTATTACAGATAAAGAAAAAACTGACAAGAAAATGTTTTACTGGATAAAGTAAAACGTGTTTTACAAGTAGGAAGGAAAAATATGGGAAAAAGCGGATTTGTATTATAAAGTATAACAAAATAAAAAGCAATAAATCAAAATCAAACCAGAAGTCCAAGAAGACAAACAAACAAAAGGTTGTTTTACCCAAAGCGGTGTTTATAAACCAGGGAGTGTAATGACAAATAATTATATGATCTCTGCATCATTTTGATTAGAGAAAATAACTTGGTTAACACATATTTGGAAGGAGCTATCCAAGAGGCATCTTGGTTATCATACTGAAGAGCTAAAATGACGTTAAAAGTCTCCCAATTTTATAGCAAATGAGGTTGAATGAGGCAGCATGACTTGGTCTGGAAGTGAATGACACTATATTTGGGGTAGTATCAGGCATCCAGAGTGAGATCTGGTGTAGAAAGAAGGAAAGGATGAGTGACTGGTTTAAAGAGCACATATAAGCACAGGCACACATGCTTGAGGCCTTCTTGTTAACCACCTAATTTTATCTTTCCCACTGACCACATATTCAATTAAGATATAAACAACAGATTTAGGAGTCATGTTGTTCTGTATATGTTTGCTCTTCGTATTGCTTCAAAGATGATTTTCATATTGGTCCACAGAAAACTTCATCCTCTTGGCATTCTGTGAAATAAATTGGAATTGTAGCCATCATCACATCTTTTTTGTGTGACTCGGCTGCTTGGCTATTTCTATGACTGCCAATGAAACTTGAGGTTATTGGTCAAGCAAGTAGAGGGGGGGTTGCAACCTAAAGATCGTAATTGAGATCAAGTCATTATAGTTTATAGAAAATAGTTTATAAAACAATATTTTTGCAAACATTCCCAATCACATGCAAAATGAAATTCTTCTAGAAAATTGCATTTTTAATATCAACTCTCGGAGGAGGATGAGAGCAACCCTCAATATCTGAAATTAAACTAGAAAATTGCATTTTTAATATCAACTCTAGGAGGAGGATGAGAGCAACCCTCAATATCTGAGGAGAACACTTTTCTCATCTAGTTTTGGGTTATTAGTGAATTGGGTTATGAGGAGATGCAGAGTTCAGGGATTCGTGGATTTTAAGTTAGTTGAGTTACCAGTATGAGAATACTCAGGTAAGATAGCTATCAATTTTCGTTAGAAACATGTTTATACAATGGGCCCCAGTTCCTAATGGCCAGTTCCTAAAGGATTGACTTTCGAAAGATGACACTGATTGGAGGCTTGCCAAACTCTGTTTCCCAAACCATTTCCCTGAGGCAAGTTTTTGTTGATGGATTGAGGAAGTCTAAAAATGTTTTGATGACAACTTATGACTTTGTCTTCTCCTAGAGATGAGAAAACTTGTTTTTATTCTTGAAAGTGTGACACTACTTCAAGTGGTTAAAATTTAAGGATATTGCAGATTTTGTTTATGATTGAATTTCTATTATGTGCTTATTTTGTTTGTTTTTTATGCTCATTGCATTTATTCCAAACTATTGAATGTGACTAATTTGGAAATATTTGATTAATTTTCAATAGATCAAATTTATAAATAACCTGAGGCAAAATAATATCCATATGAATTGTTTGATGAGTAAGTTTAAATGTGTATGTGCCTGTTTTTTTCACACACCACCTCAGGGGAAAACAAATAAGCAAACACCTCTTGTTGATCTTAGTAGAAACATAAGTACAAAAGTTAATTATTTTTTTACTAACACATTTACTTTATATCCTGAACTTCTAACTTTTTTACATGGCTGTCTACATAGGTGTCAACCTATACCTATATGAATATTGTTTAATAGCTGCATGACAGAATCTGAACTATGGATTTTCTTCTCATCTCTCAGTCAATTCTTACAACAATAAATTTTATAGATAGTAACTCTTGTGAAGTTTACACAGATTGATAGTGTCAGGAAGATTTATGTCAAGGGTTGTCTAACTCCAGAGACTCTGCTTTTACCCTTATAGCTCTTCTGTTTATAAAACTATGTATCCTGCAAACTGACATTCAAAGATCCCTACACAGAAATCCTCAACACAATACTGGCAAACAGGATTCAGCCACATATAAAAGGGATTATAAACCATGACCACATGGGATTTATACCAGGAATGCAAGCACTGAGATATTATAGCAGTCAATCTCATAACCCAGATGGCTGTTAAGTGACTAACCTGTACAGAGATAAACAGCATAGACATGCTGCACAAAAGAATGATTCACATTCCCAAGATGGAGTGGAACATGGAGAGATTTCATCATGCTACTCAGAACGGCATACAGTTTAAAACTTAACCATTGTTTATTTCTTGGATTTTCCATTTAATATTTTTGAATCAAAGGTAACGAAAACTGTGGATAGTGAAACTTCAGATAAGGGGGACTTATCAGAAAAAAAAAAATACCAAGCTACCTAAAAAGCAAGAAAAATAGTCTGTAAGCTATTTTGTTGTTTAGTGGTTACCTGAAATGGAAATCACATGTTCCTTTAAAAATATCAAAATTCAGCAGAAATTTTGCTAATCTTCTTTGAATATATCTTTACATCCTATATAATAAAAGAGTAATATGCAAATTGACCCTAACTGCAGAATGACCAGAATAACCGCTGGACCAGTTACTATGAGGCACACTGACCCCCTCTCGGTCCCTTCCCCTGGCCATCAGGTATCGATCACCCGATGGCGAACGGGAACCGGGGGTGGGTGACAGCAGGGGGCAGGGCCGGCTGTGGGCACCTGGGGAAGATGGCCCTGATCGCAGGCCAGGCCTAGGGGCCGTACCTGCGCATGAATTTCGTGCACCGGGCCTCTAGTTTTAAAATAATGAGACTTGGTCACATTTCAGCATGTATGCAAATGGAGCAGGATTTATGAAAAGGGAAAAGTATTCTACTAAAACCATTTTCGGGGATGGTAATTTCCAGATTTAAAATTCTAATGAAATCTTTTCAAATTTTCAAATCTAAGAGCTAAAATCAACAGCCAGTTTCTACAATCCATATTCTAAAAAGTAGTAGGATGTAGTTTTGAACAAAATATCTGTTTTGAAAATTGAGTTTGCAAAATTCTGAGTTGACTAATTATAAATGGGAACTTCCCTCCACCCCTTGTCTTGTAGGTTAAGGTATTATTCTAAACAAGAAGCAGATTTTGGAAGAAATTGGGCTTTGTTTGTGGATTATTTAGCTCCACCCCTCTTTCCTACAACTTTGATTAGAACTTATGAATTCCAGAAAGGTCTGCCCACACGAGTGCTCCTTAGTGGGGACCGACCCCTCTTCATCAGTGACTTTACTGGCTTTCAGAAAAGTGTCCTGCTTACTCTAAATCTTTTGCACATTGTGCATAAGTATACAGGTAAGAAACACTTTAACTTTTGAAAATTCTTATTGTGCTGATTTCATAAGTAATGAAAAAACATTAGAATCATTGTTATAAATCACTACAACAGAATGTCTAAAGAAATAAGTTTTATCTCAACTCATAAATATCTTTACTATTTTTTAGGAACACTGTCTTTCATTGTATGGAAAACTTTAATGAAGTCAGAAATTGCAAGAGAACTGTTTCTAGAGATTTTGGAATTCATCCTTCACTATTTTAATTAAGTACTTCTGGAAATCTGTAATAAAACAAAAATCTATGAGAATAGTTCCTTGAGAAAAAGTGTTCTCAACAATTAGTCTTGCATATTTGCATAATTTTGTCTTGTCTATGTCTATATTTTAATTCATGTTGTTGTTAATTTGTTTTTAATAATTATTGAATTAGCATTAATAATAAAATGTTTACTGTTCAATGAAAATGTGGTTGAGCCCTGGCTGGTTTGACTCAGTGGATAGAGCGTCGGCCTGAGGACTGAAGGGTCCTGGGTTTGATTCTGGTCAAGGGCACATGCTTGGGTTGTGGGCTCAATCCCCAGTGGGGAGCATGCAGGAGGCAGCCAATCAATGATTCTCTCTCAAAATTGATGTTTCTATCTCTCTCTCTCCTTTCCCTTCAATAAAAATATATTTTTTTAAAAAGAAGAAGAATCTTGGGCTCACTTTTAAAAAAAAGGAAGAAAATTTAGTTGAATAGTTGAATAAATGCCAATAAATTAATAAATATCATAAAACCTGGCTTGAATTTTGGATGTTATTCTATCTAAATTAATTTCATGGAATTTAAGGAATAGATTTTCATGGTCAATAGCAAGAGGCAGAAAATTTTAAATAAAAATTTAGATGATGAATTTGGATTTTTAAGACACTTAAAAATGAACTATTAATTTAGAAAGTATTTCTTAATCAAAAATGTTTTGGAAGGCTTTTAGTTCTCTCAAAGTTAGAAAAAGTTATTTTCTAAACTTCTTTTTCTAGTCCATGCTTTTAAAAAAATATTTCAGGACCATACAGGGCAAAAATTCTCACTTTTAATAAGAGATAATGAGTACTGACAAGAAGGTGGCTTTCCCTCCTGCTGTCCTCATGGTGACTTCCTTCCACAGCTTGTTTAGATGGCTTTACATAGGGCCTCAACTATAGGCAAAATATATCCACTAATGAACCATTTGGAAAAATAAAATGAAAAATTTAAGGCAAACGTTAGATATTGTGGTAAAGTAATATGGGCACCAATGTGTAAAAGATGAATTTGCATCTAAGCTCTTTTATTTTTCTAGCCAGTGTTAGCTGGTTAATCCTTAGCAATTTATCAAATTCCCTTGTATCACAGTATACTTCTTAAAAATGAAAAGATTGTAACAAAAATGAAGATAATTGAGAGTCACAAGATTTTGGTTATAAAAATTAACTAGTTCACTAACCAGAAGGTGGTGGACATCCAGGATAATGTGTACAAAATAGTACTTGTGGCACAGAGTACATGTTTGATGAACAATACATCAATAAGAACTCATTATATCAAAACTCAATCATGACTATAGCATAAACGCCAGGAAGCCCAAACCATGATATGTAATGTTGACAGAAAACAGGTTGCCTCTGGATTAGAACACAGACCATTTATTACTCATCTATCATCTATGACCTGATTTGCACAGGGCGATGCAGTGAAGGCCAGTTGATCACCTTGGCATGCAGTGGAATTACACCACAGGAAAGGAATCCTGAAATGATGAGACTCGAAATGCATTTAGAGCAGCTGGCATATCAGCCCATTTGCTAGACTCACACATGCAAGAGAGAAAAAGAGAAACTTCACCTTTACTTTAAAGGGAAGGTGGCGGTGGGTGGGGAAGGTGAGGTGCAAGAAGGTAAATTCTATGACTACACATTCAAAATACTTCCTTTCAATAGAGATTAATTTTTTACAGCATCTCAGAGACAGGCATCTGTTCTATCATGTTCACCGTGGCAGGTCAGTGCTGTGGCAACACCAGAAATGAGGCCACTGCTCAATTACTATGTGTCAAATCAGTTCTGAAGGTTAGGGATGATTTTCAGAGTTTTCTGGCAACTCAGTGTGATTATAATAAACACACAGCACAAGCAAAGAGGGAAGAGCTTGGCCTGCATGAGTCTATAGTCTGTGTATTCCCAATTATGGCCCATAAGGGCAGGTCATAGTGCAGGGGTTCTGAATTGACATCTGTGCATCACTCTTGAATCCTCTGCCCCTGCAGCTAGGACCAGTTCCACACAGGCTTTGACCTGCTTTATACAGGTGCAACTGGCAGCTGTATTTCAGTCCCTCCTTGAACCTCTTACTTCTATGCTTCTGCTGCTACTTAAGATACCTGTCAGACCTGTTTTGTACTCAGACTTGTTCAACCAGAATGGCAGGAGAGTTTCTACCCATTAGATCACCCTTGTAATAAAAAATATACCCAGGATTTAGTTTACGGAGGTATGACTGACTGAAGACGTGGGCAGGCCAATGTCGTTGAATGAATTGATTACTTAATGTCTTCTAAGAGGCCTCAAGCCATGCCACACATGGCTCAGGGGAGCAGATGACAGGACTGAGGAGAAGGCATAGATCTTTATTGAGGTTTCCTAGGAAAAGCAACACAGGGCAAGGTAAACAGCCTAAGACTGGCTGTGGATACCAGAGGCTAAAACCAACAGTAATTAGCATATTATGCAAAAAGACCCATTGGAAGGCCAATGGACTTTGATATTCAGCAGGGCTGAAAATCAGCATAATATTGCCCTGCTGTGGGCTCAATGGCTGAAGGCAATTCCCTAACCTGATAATCCTTTTACTGCTTACCAAACTTTACCTTTGATATGCCTGTATGCATTCCTAAAGGGCAAATGTGTATTCAAATGAATAAAAGCTGACAGGTCCAGGGTTTTGGAGAGCTTCTCCACTAGGGGGAAGTTTCCACCTGGCTCCCATGCCTTCTAAATTCACATTTCTTGTCTAGTGTTTTCATTTGTGCACGGCCCCTTCTTCAGATCCTGAACCCTAGTTGTAAATGGATGCAGCATTTGAGCATGTTCGGTCACAGCCCCTCTGCTAGAGGCTGTACCTCCATGGATGCTGGGAATTGGAAGAAGACATGAGTAGCTGCAGGCATATAGGGGAGACTTTATTGCAGACCAAGTAGTCATTACAGACACAGGAGCCATCAGACAAAGCAGTTCTTGCTAACACAGTAGCAAACACAAAGTAGCTACGCACTGGCTGGTCAGCAACACATTTTTATACCAACTCAGACAAAAGAGGCTTCTTGGCTGACAGTGACATCAGTATTTGGGTTATAGAAAGGTACGCTTGCACAGTGCGTACAGTAAAACTGCTGTGTCATCGCCTTTGCACATGCGTATCACACATGGGCCTTGAATATTTGGCGTAGTCTGGTCGAGGTCCCCACAGGGCAATAGGGCTGGTCTCTAGCTGACTGCTATCCGGCTCTGGAATGATTTAGGTCAGGTGAATTATTGGCTTGGTGTGTGAAAGATAAGAAAGTGGATGGGGGCACAGCCTTGGATATGTTCATCTGTACATGAAAGGCAGATTTTAGGTGAGCTGTCCACTACCTCCAGCAATTAGCTAGCCTGAGAGGGGAATTTCTCTCTTGGTCTGTAAAGCCCCCAAGAGATGTGAAACCACTATAATATACACAATGTAAATTTTAAAAAACATAATTAATGCACATTGAGCAATGGATAATGAGAGCACATGGATAAATACTTCTCACTTCCATGGTTCAAGGCTCAAAGTGCCAAGATCCTCTCATAATGTTCTAGCCACCCCTAAGCTGACTTTTTCTGAAGGTCCCTGAATAATTTGTAAAACTATTCCTTGCCCCTGCCGAGAGCAGGGTAAGTATACCTTAACATGAAGAATTAGTGAGTAATAGTGTTCACCCCATTTTAAAGTTCAAGGCTATGGAACACGTTCATAAGATGACCAAGAATCCTGAATTCTGTTTGGGTACAGAAGGGCTCACCAGTACACTTTCCCCAATCAGAAGAGCATGACCAAATGCCACTCTTTCGGGTTCCCCAAGATCTTGAGCCCTGAGTGTGTGTATGAATGTTGATCTCTGATGAATGCCAGGCAATTTCTCGGTCATCACCAAATTTCTTTTGAAGGAGGGAATGAGGTAGAGATGAAGATATTTCAGGAGCTGCTGCTTTGTGTATTCCAAGGGAACATTTTTAAAGGATTTATTAAGGTATTACATTTTGAAATAACTTCAAGGCTGCCAGCTGATTCTGTAATACTACAGATATATTTAATAAGATATTGTCATCCACACATTTATACCAAATCCAATTTTCCAGAGCTGTCTGACTGCTCTCTATCTATGAAATGGACTCTTTTTTGCTTGGTAGTTCAGTTTGTTCATTTAATTCCACATAGGAGTGAAATAGATTGAGCAAAAAAAGAAAAAAAGAGAGAGAGAACTCATGGACAGGACAGCAGTGTGGTGATTGTTGGAGGTGGAAGAGGGCATAGAGGGGATAAATGGTGATGGAAAAATAAAATAAAATAAATTCAACTTTTCTTTCACACAAATGAAATTTATATTCAAGTGTTATCAAATTTTAAATCTTACCACTCAATCAATTGCATTCATTAGCTTTTGGTTTACCTATGCAAACAAACAAACAAACAAATTTAAAAATCACCGGTTCTCATGCTGGCATTTAATACAGAAATTGTTAATTAAAGTAATTTTAAAAAGTAGGTGGCACCTGGGAAGGATTAGATATGTTCACACATCATGGAATATTGTTACTCAGGGAAAGAGAAATCCATGTACAAGTTACCTACTGTCTTATGATTTTTCCCTTGCTAATAATATCAAGATTTGAAAAATCTCATCAAATAACTGGAGATTTCTGAATATTAGTCAGATTCTAGGTCTCTGGAGCATAACATGATGAATTCTCCAAAGATATGTAAAAGATCTTGGTACATGCCTAGTGCTCCAGGGACAAGTTTATTGATCACATGCATCATGAAATTTTACTTCTGCAATAGAAATGCAAGTTTATACTAAAATTCACAAAATGATGTTGAAAAAAAGATTCAAAGTCAACTGGCCAATTTTTTATATAAGGCTTTCAGGTCTCCTTACGTTGAAAGTCATGCTGTGCTGTCCCGGTGTGGCTCAGTCGTTGAGCATCAACCTATGAACCAGGAGGTCAAGGTTCAATTCCCAGTCAGGCCACGTGCCCAGGTTGTGGGCTCGATCTCCAGTGGGGGGGGGCGTGCAGGAGGCAACCAATCAATGTTTCCCTCTCATCACT